TAGCATGTAAATGGGCCACTAAGGCCCACTAACATGTAAATGCTAAATTAGGCCCATTTATCATGTAATTGGGTCACTTAGGCCCAATAGACATGTGATGAATACATTGGGCCCAATAAACATGTAACTGGACCACGGAGGCCCAATAAACATGTATAGCAATTTCTAGGCCCAATAATCGCACTATTATTGTATTTCGTTTGTTCGTTATAGTATAGTTTGTTATGTCGTAATTCTATAATTTGAACTTATTTTTTTTATAAAACTTACGCTTTAAACCTCTTAAGAACTAATTTGAGACATTTAAATGCTTATTTCACAAAAATGTCATTTTTGGTCTGTTTTAGTTAAAAATAACATTTTAGCCCATTAATTTATAAAAGTTCTATATTTTCGGCCCAAATGTTTAATAATTGACAGATTTGACCCAAAAATACATGTACTGGTGTTTTCAGCCAATTTTTGCAGAAAATTACATTTTTGACCCATTTTTCGTGAATTCTACATTTTTGGCCCAAATTCCAAAAACTTTGCATTTTTAGCCCAATTTAGAAATAAATGTTATTTTCACCCCTAAACTCGGCTTATTTACATTCATGGCTCAAACTTTGATCAAATGACATTTTTAACTCCAAAACTCTTATTTTTCGCAAATTTGGGCCCAAAACCGTGAGGCCCAAATATTAAGCCCATTAGGCTAAAATTTACACTTTTGGCCCTTTGAAAAGTAGGGTTATCATAAAAACCCATTTTTTTATAAGTATGACCTGCTTGATCCTTATAAAACCGTAAATGTCACTTTTTGCCCTTATCCTTTGTTGTCTTGACAAGTATGACCCTTAACAAGATTGTTGCTTTAAATTTTCATATCTTAAACATGTAAACACTTCTAACTTGATAATATGATGTATAAGGTGTCTTAGTTCATGGATTTTTACTCAATGTTGCTTAAGATGTCGAGATGTGTTAAGATCTAACACATTTTTACAAAATAAACTAAGAAATCACACATGACATGCATAAAACACATAGATCTACACATTCTACTTGTATTCTCCCCCAAAAATCATGTAAAAACCGAAAACAAAGGGGTATGAACTCACCTTTGCTTGATGTTTCGGTTTTGAAGAAGAGATGGAGAGGTTTTTGGCCCTTAGCAAACTTCCTTGAGTGGTTTTCGAACTTAGGAGGGTTCTAAGAGTATGATTTACAAACACTTATGTTAGAAGGAGTGTCTTGACATAAAAGGAAGTTATAGCACTTGGATATGTAAGAACTTACCAAGAAATTATGATTTTTTGGTGGTGAAACCTTCTTGAAATGCTTCTAATTCTCGAAATTCTTGATGGAAGGGGGAGTGTTCTTGAGAGATTTGAGACTGTTTGAAAATGAAGTATGTGTGTGTGTGTTTCATTTTCACGACCGAAGAATAAAGAGGAGAGGGGAAGAGAGGGTCTTGCATGGATACATGATAATGCTTAGTTGTTTGTTGTATAATATGCCTAGTTGTCCACCAAACAATAATGAGGTGGCATGGCTTGGGTATTTAGCCATTTTATAATTAAAATTTTCTTCTTTTTTTTTTACACTTATGGGCCGAGAAAGGGAAAGTATGGAGGAGCTTGGGCCTTATCTTGATTTGGTTCGAGTTTATGAGGCCCTTAGAAAAAGGTTTTCGGCCCATTGGGCCTTTAGGTGTGTTCACGGCCTAATAAAAGTCCATTAGGTAGTTTTATGGCTCTTTAGGGTGATTGGAGTTGTTATGGCCCAATAAGGCCCATTAGGGTTAGAATGAATCATTCTAGGCCCAAATGGTCTAAATTGTTATAGATTTATGAATTGGGTCCATTTAGAATCCAAATAGGGTTTCCAAGCCCAATATAGTTGAATTGAATGCTTATTGGTCCATTAGGCCCAATAAGGAAATCCTAGTCCATAATGAACTTAAACGAGGATTGCTAGGGTTTTCAACTCCCCAATTGACCATTTGGATACTTTGTGTAGAGTTTTGAACTTCACTTGTGAATATTGATTAAGTTTGTGGTCATAGGATGGACATAGTGTATGATATCAAGTTAGGGTTACAAGTATTATCATAGATGAAGTTTACATGATTACAAAATTTTCCTGGCTAAAATTACCAGTTGTGACAGAGGTGCATCCTGGACAAGGTAGAGGTCAGCAATGAAGCTTGCCCTTGCATGGGAAATATTTTGTTACTAGGAATGTTCATCCAAAGAGGACCCCTATTATGTTGTCGTTATGACACTGCCCTAACTTGTATGTATTTATACTTTTCTTAAAATATTATTATATTTTTTTAAAAGTATATTTGTAGTCAGAGTGTTTTAGCCCTATTGTATTTATAGTTGTATATATTGTATGGTTTAATATACTAGTTCACTATAAACAATGCTCTGATACCAATCTATCACACCCCCGAACCAGGACGACGGAAATGTCCGGGGGCGGATGACGTCATTGTATAGTATCATAAAAGTTGAATATAAATGAAACATAGCAACCCAAGCAGCATACATTGAGAATACAAACTTACATAGTTTACATACTGTATTTGTTCATAAGTTACACAAAAGTGACATAAAAGTAAGAATTCCAAAATGCAGCAATCCAATTCTCAAAGACTTAGGTACCTGCTTGCTGGTTCCCGGAGAATACAAGTGATTTTGAAAAACGTCAACATTGAATGTTGGTGAGTTCATAAGCATATTTGTAAGAAAAGATGTGTATCTGCTTTGTTTAAAATGGTTTGTATATCTTCAGAAATCCGATATTTTCTATAAAAATGAGTTGTAAGTCTTACACCAAAGAATATATGTATGCATGTCCTTTATTTCTTTTCCTTGTAGTTGTAAAATGTATATTCCCAGAAAATCCAATATTTTCTGATGTATGAAAACTGTAGTCTTAAACCCTAAGACCAGAAATGTAAACAATAGTGTACTGAAAAGTAGTATGCAGTTTTATATTTTAATAAAACCGGTGAAGTGTAAGCTTCCCGTAAACCAAGATAGTATTGTTAATCCCTATGTGAGTTATTATAACCATGCTTAATGTGACTGTTATGCATGTACGACGTTCTTCAGGCGTCGAAATCGGTAAGATATTTGTCACCCTAGACTAGCCCGTCTAGCTGTAGCGAAAAGCTCAGGTGTGGGGTTGTCAATCCCCGTATAGATCTATACACAACTATCTCGCTCTCCCTCTAGGAGACTCTGGTTATAATGCAGGACTTAAAGTGTATGCTAGGTAGGTACGGTGAAGTGAATGTGTCTCACTAGAGCATTGACAGATTTACGTGAACTACGACTCCTTTTTCTTGTAAAATAATTATACCTTTGAATAATTATATGGTTCTTTTGAAATGATAGTGTAGTATTTGAGACCCATAAACCATACCAATTATAATTTATTATGAATGTTTTATCAAGTCCATTTATATAATCAAATATATTAACACATGTAAGTTATCATGTCTAGATGTTTTTTTTAAAGATTATAACATATAAACTTATATCTAAACACATGTATAAAACATTTAAAATATGATAAAGACAAATGTCTAGTTTTTGACTTTTCTGTCCATGTTTTTAGAAAAATTATAGAAAAATCATCGTAAGTCGAAATTTGGACCCGTAAACTCCCAAAGCTTAGAAAATGAGTCTACTTTATCCATAATATTTTTCTTTGACCTTAAGTGGTTCCTAACTAGAGTGAAAACGTTCATTTTTACGGGTTGGTCAGAAAATGTTATAAAATGATAGACAGTTTTATAAAAATCACCATAAATTGTAGAAAAATCTAATGAATTCGTGAAAGTAGTCCTTAAAAAGGTATAGACCTGAACTATTTTCGTATTGAACTGTTTTGAAATATATGAAGTTTAAGTAGGGAAAAACAGTCGTTAAATAGACCACAGCTTTTCTGTAGAAAGCTGATTGTTAAGCTTAGATATGTTTTAGTGACATATCTTGTATTTTTAGTTTGCAAAGCCTTTAGATCATCCAAATAAGGTTTTTTTACTTGTATCCCCCCCCCTAAAAAGTTAGAAAAATACGAAAACTTGGGGGTTTGAAGCTCACCTTGGTTATTTCGTGTGTGGTAGGAAGGAAAGTGAAGAAGATTTCGAGCCTAGCTTTGAGCTTGAAGAGCTTCTTGAAGATGCTAGTGTTTCTAGGATTTTAGCACACAAAAATGTGTGTGATTATGAGGAACTAGACAACAAAATGTATGAAATACACTTAGGGTTCATGAAGGAACTTACCAAAACTACTTGAGTCGATTTGGTGGTGTTGATCTTGAAGAAGCTTGGACGAATTTTGAGAGAGAATAAGTGAGGAGAATGAGAGAGTTTTCAAGTTCTTGGGTGGTGGGAAAATGTCCTCTTGGCCGTGGTTTT